TGATTGTGGATCAAAGCAATTTATATGCACAAAAATTTATCGCTGCCAACCAAAATTCAAACCTTGCCAGACCATTCGCGTGGAAACCCATTACGGTTTCCAAATTTACTTTTTTTGGGGGCTTAACCCTCAACATGGGCATTACGAAAAGAAATGAATTGCGGTTGTATTGGTCCGCAGACCCGATTCATCATATGCCCGTGTTCTCTGCTGCCATCGCTAGGCATAGATATGAGAGTATAATGTGTTTTATGCATTTCAACGACAATACACTTTGTCATCCTCGGGGTAACCCTGAATTTGACCGGCTCCACAAAATTCAGCCTCTCGCAAATCACCTTAGCCAAACATTTGCAGATGTCTATACTCCCCAGCAAAAAATCTGCATTGATGAGCCCCTAATTAATTTTTTTTGGCCACCTTGCATTCAAACAATGTCTCCCCAGCAAGCGTGCCAGATATGAGGTCAAGATGTAGAAGACCTGTGAGAGGGCAACAGGCTATACTTATACATTTCGGTTTTACGAGGGAAAAGATAGTCACGTGGAGCCCCCTGGATGCCCAGACTACATGGGGAGCCGTGGCAAGATAGTTTGGGACTTGGTGTCATCCTTTTTCCATATGGGGTACCACTTATACGTGGACAATTTTTATTCGTGCCACTATTTAGACATTTGTACAATCTTGGAACTGGTGCATGTGGTACCGTGTGACCTAATGTGTGTCCACCATTAGAAGTGCGTGGATGCAGGGCGGTATATTTTAATGGTGTGCATAACACACATTTTTTTGGCAGAGATTTCTTCTTTTTTATTCAGTCCACAGGCTGCATAAAAAAAAAAAACCCAAAAGAACGTAGCATATATACCCAACAAGGACCAGCGACGTACTGGTACATCACTGGATTTTGAGTGGTTATACCAGGATGATGCCTACAGCTGCAGGCATCATCCTGGTATCATTTTTTTTCAGCTGGCGATCAGCTTTCATGTAAAAACAATCCTAGTGGGTAATTAACTGCAGGATTGCTTTTACAAGCAGCGGGAGACAATACCCCCCCCCCCCCCGCTGCCTTCCACGGCCTTCTCGGGTAGTCCCAAGCCATAGAGGGAACCTGAGAATGCAGCCAGTGTTTCTGCCAGCTGACCATAGAGCTGATTGGAGACCAGAATGGTGCCAATCATCTCTACAGCCTAAGAATTTGGAAGCTATGAGCATTTCATTACTTCAGTTTCGCAGGATATAAACAGCACCATTTGTAAATTGGGAAAGCATTGATCACACCGATTCTAGTTTGATTAGATAATGTAAGGGCAGAGGAGAGGTCTAGAGTCTGATAGAACCCAGATTTCTCAAAAAAGAATATACGACAATGCCCATTGAAGTTATAGGGGATATTTGCATTCCCTGTGATAGCATTAAAAGTGATAAAAAAAAAAAAAATTAAAAAGGACAGTGTAAAAATTAAAAAAATCAAAATAAAAGTACCCTCGCCCCCCGCGCATGCGCGCACCTGCATTCATGAGGATTGACCCTGTGCAAGTATGGAAACAGCAATTGCACCATGCACGTGAGGTGTCGCCACGAACTTCCGATCAAGGGCAGTAATTCTAACACTAGACCTCCTCTGTAAATCTAAAATGGTAGCTTGTAAAGGCTTTTAAACATTGCATATGGATATTAAAAACGTATGCAGTTTGTTGCCATTGCATGGGGCATGCGCAGTTTTAAAGCATGTCATGTTTGGTATCTATTTACTCGGCATACCATCATCTTTTATAATTTACAAAATAATTGGCCAATATATTGTGTTTTTGTGCATTAAAAGTAAAAAAAGTGTATTTTTAAAAAAAAATTGCGTTTGAAAAATCGCTGCACGAGTACTTTTAAAATTCCTTGGGGTGTCTACTTTCCACAAAGGGGTCATTTGGGGGGGTTTGGTGCTATCCCGGCATGTTTGGGCCTTCGAAACTGTGATAGGTATGAGGAAGTGAAATGAGGAAGTTACGCACCTTCAGGCTTTCAAGTGGTCAATGGATTTCAGGCTCCTGTATGTGGCTAGGCTCCCAAAAAGTCTCACACGTGTGGTATCCTCATACTCGGTAGAAGTAGCAGAATGCATTTTGGGGTGTAATTCCACATATACCCATGGCTTGTGCGAGAAATAAATCATTTAAATGACAACTTTGTGTAAAAAAAAAAAAAATGTTTTTGTCATTTTCCAGAAACTTTTGGAAAAAAAAAAAAAAAAAAAAAAAAATCTTCCATGGACACAACATGCCTTTCAGCAGATACAGTTGCAAGAAAAATTATGTGAACCCCTTGGGATTACGTGGAGTTTTGCCTGAATTGGGCATAAAATGTGCTCTGAACATCATCTAAGTCACAATAACAGAAGAACACAGTCTGCTGAACATAATACTACACAAACATTAGATGTTGCCATGGTATAATTGCTCATAACATGTAAACATTCACAGTGCAGGGAGGAAAAAGTATGTGAGGCCCTAGCTTGATGACTTCTCCCAGAGCTAATTGGAGCCAGGAGTGAGCCAACATTGACTCCAATCAGTGTTATGATATTGGATGTGTTGCTGACAGCTGTCCTGCCCTTAAAAAACACACACCTGTTTTGGGTTTACTGGTTTCAAGAAGCACTGTCTGATGTGAACCATGCCTCGCAGAAAAGAGCTCTCAGAAGACCTACGATCAAGAATTGTTGACTTGCATGAAGCTGGAAAGGGTTACAAAAGTATCTCCAAAAGCCTTGATGTTCATGTGTCCACGGTAAGACAGACTGTCTACAAATGGAGAAAGTTTAGCACTGTTGCTACTCTCCCTAGGCGTGGTCGTCCTGTAAAAATGACTGCAAGAGCACAGCGCAGAATGCTGCATGAGGTAAAGAAGAATCCCAGAGTGTCAGCTAAAGACCTACAGAAATCTCTGGCACATGCTAACATTTTTGTTGACACATCTACAATAAGGAAAACATTAAACAAGAATGGAGTACATGGGAGGACACCACGGAGGAAGCCATTGCTGTCCAAAAAGAATAGCAGCACATTTGAAGTTTGCAAAAGAGCACCTGGATGTTCCACAGCACTACTGGCAAAATATACTGTGGACAGATGAAACCAAGATTGAGTTGTTTGGGAAGAACACACAACACTATGTGTGGAGAAAAAAAGGCACAGCACACCAACATCAAAACCTCATCCCCACTGTAAAACATGGCGGAGGGAGCATCATGGTTTGGGGCTGCTTTGCTGCCTCAGGGCCTGGACGGCTTGTCATCATTGATGGGAAAATGAATTCCAGAGTTTATCAAGACATTTTGCAGGAAAACATACGACCATCTGTCCGCCAACTGAAGCTCCGCAGAGGATGGGTGATGCAACAGGACAAAGACCCAAAGCATACAAGTAATTCAACAAAACAATGGCTGCAACAGCACAGAAAACGCCTTCTGGAGTGGCCCAGTCAGAGTCCTGACCTCAACCCGATTGAAATGCTGTGGCATGACCTTAAGAGAGCGATTCACACCAGACATCCCAAGAATATTGCTACACTGAAACAGTTTTGTGAAGTGGAGTGGTCCAAAATTACTCCAGATCGTTGTGCAGGTCTGATCTGCAACTACAGGAAACGTTTGGTTGAGGTTATTGCTGCCAAAGGAGGGTCAACCAGTTATTAAGTCCAAAGGTTCACATACTTTTTCCTCCCTGCACTGTGAATGTTTACATGTTATGAGCAATTAAACCATGGCAACATCTAATGTTTGTGTAGTATTACGTTCAGCAGACTGTGTTCTTCTATTGTTGTGACTTAGATGACGTTCAGAGCACATTTTATGCCCAATTCATGCAAAACTCCACGTAATCCCAAGGAGTTCACATACTTTTTCTTGCAACTGTAGCTTAGGGTGTCTATTTTACGAAAAGGGGTCATTTGAGGGTGTTTGTACTATCCTGGCATTTTAGCACCTCATGAAATGTGATGGACAATCAGAAAGTAAATGCTGTGCAAATTCCATTATCTATACCATAGTTTGTAGACGCTATAATTTTCACGCAAAGCAATAAATGTACACTTACTAGGATTTTTTTTAACCAAAAACATGTCGCGAATACATTTTGGCCTAAATTTATGACAAAATTTTACTTTTTTTGGATATTTATTATGACTGAAATGAGAAAATATTGTTTTTTTTTTAAAAAAAAATGTTTTTTCTTCAAAAATGTTTTTGTTTATAGTGCCAAAAATAAAAAGTGCACAGGTGATCAAATACCACCAAAAGAATGCTCTATTTGTGTGAAAAAAAGCACATAAATTTATGTACCATATTGCATGACTGTGCAATTGTCCATTAAACTAGCGCAGCGCTGTATAGCAAAAAAATGGCGTAAGTTGCAGTATCTATACCATAGTTTGTAGACGCTATAACTTTCACACAAAGCAATCAATATACACTTACTGTGATATTTTTTTTACCAAAAACATGTAGCAGAATACATTTTAGCCTAAATTGATAACCAACCTAGTTTACTATATATTTTTATAGCTGAAAAAAAATATAGTTTTTCTTCTTTGGTCTTTTTTTGTTTATAGCGTGAAAAATAAAAAGCGCACAGGTGATCAAATACCACTGAAAGAAAGCTCTATTTGTGTGAAAAGAAGGACGTAAATTTCATTTGGGTGGAGCGTTGCATGATTGCTTAATTATCAGTTGAATTAGTGCAGCGCCGAGTAGCAAAAAGAGGCCTGGTAAGGAAGGGGGGTAAATCCTCTGGATGGCAAGTGGGTTAAACATAGCAGACAAATAAAAGGCTTCAGTTTTTATTTCTGCCCATGTCCATATTGGAGAAAATGTCCATCATTTTCTGTCCCTTTGACACTAGAACAAGAATTGAGCAGAAAAGGCACCACACAGATAGCAATAACAAACAAAAATGGCAAAATCACAAGCTACATAGCAATATAATTAAACATGATAAACATACCAAAGAATTTTCAGAGGGAGGGCCCAGCCTCCCATAATAATGAATACGTTTGTTCATTGCTGAAGCATGGGATGTAACTCTCGGAGGATCATCATTGATGCTGGTAATGTAGGAACGGTCAAGATAAAAAGGCCTGGAAAACAATACGAATAATTAAATTACATTTTTTGGGGGTTTTTTTTTTCCCAATTTTTTTATTTAAAGGTTAGCGTCAGGCTGACAGTCAATTGTAAAAACAAAGAATAATACAGAATCTGTTCGAGGTACATGCCTTTTTTCTGCAAGTATGGTCAATGCTAACAGGACAGGTTCTGTAAATGACAAAGAAACAGCAATAACCCATCATTCCCTATAACTGCTATGAAAGGAGGTAAACTATAAACAGAACAGAAAGGTAAGTCAATACATCAAGGTAATAACTGGCTAACAGCAGATGCCGCTATGTTCAAAGAAGCAGGCTCTGCCTGCTTCTTTGAACATAGCATAGGCTATGTTTTATGAACATTCATAGGCTAAATACTCAACAAATCTAAATCTGTCCAATGGCAGAGACGCAATTCAGAACATATCTATGACAATCACCCAGACAGGACTGACTTGCGCCATAAGGAGAGACAAAACTGTTATGCGTGGGGGAATAGAATGAACCAAAAAGGGGAGGAAGACAGATGGGAGAGGAAGAGAGGGAGGAAAAAAGAAAAGAGTGTGTGTGTGTGTGTGGGGGGGGGGGGGGGGGGGGGGAGGGAGTCCCCGAGGGAGTGGTTGGAAAAGAATCTCATGTAATCCTCCTCTAACAGCCAAGACCAATTGTGTACATACTGAAGCTATTACTCCAAAAAATGGAGAGATCCAAGTAAAACCAAGGGTTACAGTATTTCTCCGACCTATCTTGGAGAGCAGAGGTCAGGTGCTCCATATTTTGGATATCATTCACTCTGGCAAAGCCTTTGAGTTACAGTCGGTGAGGCCTGTTGCTTCCACGTAAGAGGGATAAAAGCCCTGGCTGGATTGAGTAAATGTTTTAGTAGGGACTTGGTGATATTCCTTTTCGACATAGATGTTAGATTTAGAAGGACCACTGCTGGATTATCAGACAAGGAAATGTCTGTGAACTTGTGAATGAGTCGAAGGACAGGTTGCCAAGAAGGGCTATAGATCAGGGCAATCCCCAAAAGATATGGAATAGTGTGCCCAGTAGAGTTTTACAACGCCAGCATAAGTCGCTCTGTTGTGGAAACAATTTGGCCTAGGTAAAAGGGGTTCTGTACAATCGGGTCATAATCTTTCATGTCGTCTCTTGATATCTGCTGCAAAGCGATGATTTATGAGTGAAAAACAAGATAAGTTCTTTTTGGCTGTCGATAAAGGTGGTATTCAAGTCTCTTTACCATTTGACCAAAAACGGGGGGAGGGCTGGGATTGAGCATCAAGTAGCAACCAACATGAATCAGTCAGGGATTTCTAGATAGGCCTTGAGAATAGGGAAAGGTTAGGCAAGGAACGGAGAAAATGTGAGTTGCATGGCTCTACAGTAATCTATAGAAGGGAACAGAGGAATATCAAACAAGGCTGCACTAGTGATCCAACCATTCTCACATAGAAAAATGTGTTGCTCTTATTGGACCCTGTTTTGTCCGTGACATGAAGATCTTATCCATCAGTCCTGATACAAAGTCTGGGTATTCTGCACACAAAGCTCCTATTCTAGATTAGATTATTCCCTGATTAAGCACTCTTCCATACCTATGATCTCAAAGGCCACCATTGGTAATACAGCTCTCTCCGACCAAGCCCCGATCACCTTGGAGCTGTTACCATGACAGAAGGTGCCTGGGACAACTACCTGGCGATTAAACAAGTCTCTCTTCAGGACCCAGAGATACAGGCGGATATTCTTCAGGAACTTAATGCATACTTTGCCACCAATAAGCGGCTCAGTGGAAAACCTCCTCTCCCTCTGGTTCACATATAAATGCTATATTACAGGTATCCTCATTAAACATGGCCACAGAGCAACATGCCTCAGGGCCTGGTCTGTGCACATTTCGGCACGGTACCATTTTTATTATTTTTTTACTTTATCTTTTACTTTATTTATTATGCACTCCCACGTTTGTCACTTTTTCTTTGCCTTATGTGTGTGTTTCACGGATGGAGGGTGTGGGTCCCTCGGGCCTACCCTGAAGTCTAGGGGGAGGATGTGTGGCCATACGGTTCCTTCCTCCCCTGATCCCTAGAGGACTCTTCTTCGGGAGAGTCCCCTTGCCTAGTACTGAATGTCCGGCTTCGGCTTGGCATAGGGAACGGTGGTCCACCCGGCCTTTTGGTCAGGAGGACCAAGTGGGAACCTAGTCCCCGTCAGGAGCTTCGTGCCCCGGGGGATCAGGGACAGCGGTCCAAGCCCCTTTCGGGGTAGGACACAGCACACCCCTAAGTGCACGTTTTTCGTGTGGTGTTTTGCACTTGCACTTTTTTGCGGACACTTACGGGTTTTTTCGATATAGTTGCACGTTTGCGGACTTAAAAAAAAAAAAAAAAAAAAAAAAAACAGAGAAAAACATGCTGGGTGATTTGCTTGCAAAGCTCCAGACTCTTAAACATCATCACAAAAATAACCCTGACCACATACTGGAAGCTGAGCTCACACAAACACATGAGCCCATTCCTAACCATACCCTACATGAGGCCAAGAGCATCCTCATTGTTGTCTTAAAATAATGAAGTCCACACAGAAACAGTTCATAAGACAAATCTGTTGTCTTATATCAATAATGGAGGACGTATGACCAACATATATTTATATATGTACTATTCCCGCAGCAACAAATAGTCCTTTTCCAGAGAGATGCATTAATTCGGATAAAGATATGTTGTTTTTTTTTTGTTTTTTTGTTTGTTTTTTCAAGTCCGCAAACGTGCAACTATAACGAAAAAACCCGTAAATGTTCACAAAAAAAGTGCAAGTGCAAAACACCACACGAAAAAGTGCACTTAGGGGTGTGCTTTTGTCCTACCCCTAAAGGGGCTGGACCGCTACCCTGATCCCCTGGGGCACGAAGCTCCTGACAGGGACAAGGTTCCCATTTGGTCCTCCTGGCCAAAAGGCCTGGTGGACCACCGTTCCTTGTGTCCAGTTGAAGCCGGACACCCAGTACTTGGTCAGGGGGCTCTCCCAAAGAGAAAACCCCCTAGGGATCAGGGGAGGAAGGAACCAAAAGGCCACACATCCTCCCCCTAGACTTTAGGGCAGGCCCGAGGACCCACACCCTCCATCCTGTGAAAAACACACACAAAAGTAAGAAAAAGTGACAAAACGTGGGAGTGAAAATAAATTAAATAAAGATATTTGTTACAGATGACACAAATCCAGCTGAATATTTGTAAAGATTACAACGAACAGCAGCTCTCAAAGTCCCATTCAAGATACTTCATATCAAGCATAGAGATACTACACTGTCCAGCATATGTCCAATCTATAATATGCAACCAGGTAGCGTCCATGCAACCTGTGTTCTGTCCCACATATCCTGACCTGTGGTCTGCTATCTTTGTATTCTCCCTTATGCTCTGCCCAGGTATCCTCACTTGTGCTCTGCTATCTTTGTATTCCTTCCTGTGTTCTGTGTCCTGTGTTAATATACACATTTTCCCCATTCAGTACAATGGCAAGCAGTCTGATTGGCCACTTTTAGTAGCATGTTTGATCTTATGTGTCTAGACCTAGAAACTTCCCCTGACTCTCCATATACCCAAAAACAGGTTAACCCAACACAACAAAGGTAAGGTAATTACCTCCTGCATACATTAACATAGTAAGGTGTCCTTTTGGTGTGTAAGGGCCTCAGGGCCTGGTCAGTGCACGATTTGGCACGACCACTTTTTTATTTTTATAGATTTATTTATTTATTTATTTTTCACTCCCACGTTTGTCACTTTTTACTTATGTGTGTGTTTTCTTCACATGATGGAGGGTGTGGGTCCTCGGGCCTACCCTGAAGTCTAGGGGGAGGATGTGTGGCCTTTTGGTTCCTTCCTCCCCTGTCCCTAGGGGGTTTTTCTCTTCGGGAGAGCCCCCTGACCAAGTACTGGATGTCCGGCTTCGGCTGGGCATAAGGAACGGTGGTCCACCAGGCCTTTTGGCCAGGAGGACCAAATGGGAACCTTGTCCCTGTCAGGAGCTTCGTGCCCCGGGGGATCAGGGTAGTGGTCCAACCCCTTCGGGGGTAGGACAAAGCACACCCCTAAGTGCACTTTTTTGTGTGGTGTTTTTGCACTTGCACTTTTTTGTTAAACACTTACGGGTTTTTCGTTGTAGTTTGCACGTTTGCGGACTTAAAAAAAAAAAAAAAAAAGTGGTCTTATCACTGGCCTCTCAGTATGTGTTTCAATGTCTTCAATATATATATTACACACAAAATATACTACACTCATGAAGGGCAATCACTCTTTTTATGAGTTCGGCAACAAATGCAGACACTTACTGGCTAATGCCCCATGATCCCGTCACACGCAGTCTTACATTTCCACAATATCTGCGATGACCAGAACAAAACTACATTGAGATGACAAATGCCTTCTCTACTTTCTACTCATCTTCGTAGAACCTTCAACCCCCAACTTCAGATGCAAAAGACTCACTTAAACTATCTGGAATATCTAATTACCTACGAGCAGCGCAGCTCCCCACCTTGACAGAAGATGAATGAAAAGTCCTTTGCCAACTTATTTCTGCCACTGAGTTAGCTTCAGCCTTATCCAATTCATTATCGGGCAAGGCCCTAGTTCCTGACAGGTTCACTCTGGCATATTATAGGACCTTTTTGTCCCAACTTTCTCCATACTTTATTGCTGCTTTCAATGCTATTTGAGATGGTTAGACTATCCCACTAGACCTTTTGTTTTCCAGCATCTCTGTATGTCCAAAACCTGACAAGGAACTGCTCCTTTGTGCCAGCTATAGGCCCATATCTCTTCTGAAATGTGACGTCAAGCTATTCACCAAAAACTTTGCGGCCAGACTGAATGTCCCTCTTCGATGTCTGATTTCCCCTGACCAAGCTAGTTTCATTCAAACAAGAGAGGTGAGAAAACACTATAGGTACTCTCGTGCTCAACATTATTTCCAGGGTTAAACA